TATATATATATATATATATATATAATTTGTTTCTTATCCGTCAAGTTTTCATGAAACATATCCGCAAGAGTTACAACTTCGTTTGTTTGAAAAGACGCTTCTTTGTGAGGACTAGGTGAGGAATAATTGCGTACGGGTCTGCAGCAACGTATGTGCTTCCAAAGTACTCAAGTGCACCTGTGTCACCACGCGGATCCAGCGCACTACCTCTGTCAATCACGCGAAAAATCGCCGGCATCTCCCCTTTGTTGTAGTTACCCGACGCATTCAGCGGAGGGTACGAAACAGCAAAGCTCATGCTCCGCACACCAGCGGCATCGCGGAGTGCCATCAGCGCAACAGCAACAGCGCGGGCAAATGAAGGGTCCTCCGGGTCTCTGCTGATAACTAAAAGCTCCTTTTCTTTGCGAGGGCACACATTCGAGAGCACCACATTGTCGCCAACTCGAACAGACAAGCCAATCATGTCGTGTAGGCGGACGACCTCGTCCCAGTAGCTATAATATTTAAGCTTTGAGAATCGTGCTGCCGCGCGCTGGAGCTGATCAATGCCAGAGAAGTAGTGATCTCTCGTTAACGCTACCTGTAGATGTAGGTGCACCTGTGAGGCTGACGCCCTTTTGCCAATATCGCAGATAATGTTAGGATATGTGTGGAGGGAGTCTTCGTGGTGAGCCCTCTTAAACCATTTGTGCGACACATCGATGATGTCAGCGATGACATCCTCATTATAGGCCAAAGGATCATGCACGTCAGTGATGATGAGGCTGTGCCAGCGACTAAGCTTGGCGATGTTGGCTGCTGTGAACGAGTGTTTGCCCACAATTCGTCCAAAAACATCCTCCGCCGTGTGGTTCATGCTGCAGAAGTCACATGTCGCCACGCCGCTGCCCTCTGTGTACGACTTCGCCACCGCCTCCTGCTCCGCCGCGTCGCCGCCGCTGCTGCCACCGCCCGGCCTGAATTTGCGGATGCTGTTGAACAGAGCATTCTCACCGGTAATGCGGTTCCACACCTCAACTACGCGCTGCTCCTCCAAGGCACGCATTAGCTCCTCGTGCGTTCCACCGTAGGCAGAGAACATCGCCGCCGCCTTTTCACGGAAGGTGGGCGGAACAGACAACAGCGCGGTTTCGGTGCGAATCACGTAGATACTTTCGAGTGCATTTCGCACGTCGGCGCGGTGAGCGAGAACGTCGCTCAGCGACTGCATCGACGAAATCGGCTCATAGATGTGTATCCTCGCACGAGGAGGCAGAGGAGGAACCGCAGCGGCAGCATTCATCAGTGAAGCGCTCTCCCTGTGCTTGGGCGGAAGCAGCGCGAACAAGACCAGCACTATCAAGAGGGTCACAACAAGAGCAACACGCACGCATCTCCGCCTCGATGAAAGAGGTGAGGACCAGTGGTGCAGTGTCCTAAGCTTTGACGCCGAGTATTTTTCCATTTCATAAGCCAATGAGGCTATGGACGGCAACAATGGAAAGCGAACCAAAAAAAAAGCAAGGCAAACAAGAAAGGTGCATTCAGATAGTAGTAGCAGAACTAACAGAACAGTGGGGGGGGGGGNGGGGGGGGGGGGGGAGGTCACTCTTCCCAATTCACCGCAACATTACCTTTAATTGAGAGAAAAGTTACCAGCTACCAGTCAGCACACACAGCTTTAGAGAGGCCGCGGCCGCTTCTCCGACGGGAGTGACTTAAAGCGGCGTTTAATGGTGATGCGGTGGCGGCTGTACTTGTCGTCAGGACTAAAGCGGGCGGGGTGGGCGCTGAGCGTCGGCTTCCCCTCCGGGTCCATCTTCTTCAGAGTGTACTGCCGCTTTCCATCAACGATGTACACCTGCAAGTGCATAGTGGAGTGTGTTTTTCTCTTGTTGTTCGCTTCCTGTCAACGAGAGTACAAGGAGAAAGAGAAAGAGAAAGAGGTTCAGCGGCAAGACGACAAATTGAAAGGCAGTCAACAAAGAAATCCAATGATACAGTTAGGACTCTAGCCAAAACTTGTACAGCGGCACACGAGAACCGGGTGAAGCGGGCAAACGACTCATCTACAAGGGCATGAAGCATGCCCTTGCGTGCCCTCGTGCACGCCAATATGTGTGTGCGCCGCTGCCACCACAATGGGCAGCAGCATCCACGTGGGAAAAAAGACGCTCTAGCAAGTACAGCTGAATAGGGAGGGGGGTAGAAAGCCAGCTCAGAAACAGACAGAGGAAGCGCGGTCGAAGTGATCACAGCACCAGTATGCAAGAGAACTCAAGCAATATGTTTTTTTCCTCCAGTTTTGTGCTTTGACCGTCGCCAGCGTGGATCTAAGCCGCACGGCCCACAACAAACTGTCCTCCATCATCTCTCAGCTTCGTATATCGAAGTGAATATAGACAACTACATCGTCCTGTACTCCGCGGCCGCCTCATCTAGTACGGAGCGGCCCGAGCAGGGAGGCCGGTATAAAGAGAGTTGCGCCCCCAAACCTTCCAGCTTCGCTACTCTTCCTTCTCTCTTTATTTCTCTTCCTCTCTCATTCGTTCAGCTCGAACAACATGAGGTTGGTGGGAGCGATTAACGACCTGGTTGGGGTGCAGGCAGCTCAGTAAATCGATATCAGTCTCGGCCGCCGGCACAAGTGTGAGCGCAGCGTTTGGCTGTTGCGCATCACGCTGGTGATATAGCACGCGTTGTCAAGAACGGCGTAGTAGGACGACATGGGCAAGAAGACCGAGGACTGCTGCGACACAACAGCTCCCAGTGTACGTCGGAGGTGGCAACGCAAGGCGGTGTGCAGCTCGCGCCGCAGCATCGACTCCGGGAGGGGCCCGGCCAAGTAGAAGTCCGCTACGTCCAACTCGCAGTCGTTGACGCTATTGTTCCTGACGCCAAGCTCCTCCGTTTCCCTCTCACACGACTTCGCCACATCCATCCAATACTGCTGCTCGACATCGCTACGCAACTTGAGGTAGTTAAGTTCTACACGGGCCTCCAAGCATTTCTTGTACTGCCGGAATGCACGCTGAATTTTCGTCACTGCCGCCTTCCAGCGGCGAAACTCAACGAGCGGCAGTAACCGTTCTGAGCGCAGAAATAAGAGAATGACATTAATCATCACTTCCCGTACAGGACTGCGGCGCCGCTGAGGAGTGGCCTTGGCAACCGCTGGCTTGCGACTGCGCCCAATGAGGTGCATGTAGAGGCGCCACCGAGGAAGAAACAGGCGTTGCAGGGTTTCCAGTGCACGCTGCCCGAGAGCACTCCTCAGTACATCCTCTAGCTGCGGCTCCCTCGGATTTACGTCGTTGGCCACTAAACTCTTGACCGTCGAGGCCACGCTGTCGCTGTTCGCATCGACATTCTCTTCTGTTTCCTTGGCCAGGGTCCATTTAACACCATTCACTTGATTCACCTCATCACAGGTGTGATCATGAGTGTTGCAGCGGCGATGATGCGGATTGTCTGGCGGCACTCGCAGCATGCCACGGCGAAGTGAATCTTTCCACTCCACAACAGAAGCAACTCTGTGCCGCACCTGCGTCGTGTGGGTCCTGCACGGCCGCATGAAAAAGGTCACGTTCCTCCGCCTGAGCGGGGGCAGCCTCAATGTCTCGGGCGCCGTGACGTCAAAAGTGTGACGACGTGAAGAAGCTTTGTTGCGCACCAACTCGTGGATGTGCTGCATCTGCGCCAGCTCCTCCTCGTGGAAAGCATCACACGTGAGACGGCGCGTCTTCTTTCTTGGCTTCATCCCCTCACGCCACACGATGTCTGTTTCTAACAACAAGAGTGACGACAGAAAACCAGAAAAAGCAACTTTTTTTTTTCTAACTTCGCAGCTGCAAGGAAATCATACGAAGCAGCATACACACAAAGCCGCTAATCAAAACGGCATGGGGGGTTGTTACGGTTGTTTTTCCTTCTCTTGGTCTCGGTTCTTCGTTCTCCTTTCTCCTTTTCGTTTTTCCTCTTCGTGCCTCTCTCTCTCTCTCTCTCTCTCTCTCTCTCTCTCTCTCTCTGTGTGTGTGTGTATGTGCTTTAAATGCATGCCGGGCGGAGGCGGGAAACGTGCGCCAATATGGCAAGCCACCTTTGCCGACTGCATCGTGAACACCGCTACTTCCCCTGCAAGAGCAACTGCGGGGCATTTTCGTAGGCCCACTTGTGGCGGTCCTGCGCGAGCTCCAACTCCTCCCCGAGGGCCTTGAAAACCTTCGCGTAGTCCACCGGCTGCTGCGGGCCGCCACCGCCCATTTGGCTCATCAGCAACGCCTGGTCGTTGTTTCCCGCCCCAGCGCCCAGCAGCAGCTGAAGGATGCCGTTGGAGCCGAACATGATGAGGAAGTACATGCTGAGAGATGTAACGTAGTTGCAGTCGAGGTCATCAATGTCAGCGCCGCGCTGCATCATGCCGCGGAACCGCGGGGTAAGCCCAAATGGGAATTTCGCCACAACAAAGCCGGAGTAGAAGTAGGAAACGAGCATCATCATGCCCATGTTTGGCACCATCATGAGAATATTGTTCTTCATCATCTCCCCCATCATAGAGGGGTCCTGCATCATCTCCATCGGGTTCACCTCAATCTTCTTCTGTAGTGGTCCTTTTCGCATCGCCTCTGACCGCCGCTTAAATGCCTCGGGTGAAAGTTTTTTACCCTCCGTCAGCAAGAGGCGGGAGTAATTGGAAACGTTAACGCAGCACATTCTTTCCATTTTGGGTTGGGGGCTCGAGCTCATAAGAAGACCAGCGTAGTGGCGTAAAACCCCGACAAAGATGACGATGGCGATGAGGGGCAGAAGCACCCAGTCGCGGATGCTCGGGTCGAGCAGAATGTTCTGCGCCATCGTTGGGGAGACGCTTCACTAATGAATGTTTCTCCCATATCAGCCGCGCCGTGGAGGAGGAGGAGGAGGAGGAGGAGCAGCAGCAGCAGTAGCAAAAATAAAGGAAGTGATAGCAGCACCAAATCATATAAGGAAAGAGGCACCACAGTGGCATACGTGCGCAAGAAGAAACAAAAGAGATGCATTACACAAGACAATATGTTTCTTTTTTTTTTCCACCATGTTGAGTGTCTTTTCCTTCGTTTTCTCGCCTTATCTCCTCTCTGCCTTACTCACTAACTCACTAGGCATCCCACAAGCTTCAGGGATTGTAGCCGGCGTCTCTAATTTCTACGCCGGGAAATATTTTTCGGGTGTAACGAATAATACGATCACGGTATTTAAGAGGCGGGACAGTAGAGAGAGTTTTGGCCTTCCATAGGAGGGACTTGCAGAAATTCGCCGTCTTCTTCTTCCACGTGTACAGTGTCAACATATCGATGATGCCGATGTAATACACCTCTTGGTCGTAGAGACTGCTAACGCCAGCAGCAAACTTGTGCATCTTGGAGGAGCGCTGAAGTGGCGATGGGCGAATCTCCTTCGCGTCCGCTGCCCCCTCGCTGCCTATTGGGTATGTCATGCGCATGCTCCATATGTGCTTGCCAGAGCGCGTCACCTTCTTCTCATTGTACGCAACACCGATAAGAAGGGAGTAATCCATAAGCCCCACAGAACCCAGGAACTCATAGTCATGCACAAGTATTTCAAGCAGCTGATTCCTCTTCTCCCTTTCCAACCAGAAGAGACGCGTGAGGTCCTTGTCTTTCCGCGTTGCCAGCTTGTCCTTGTCAGCGGCCTCCACAACGACAACGCGGTCCTGCATAGACTCAAAGAACCCCGGCACAGCGATGGTCTCGCGTGGTGTGTCTATGATATATGGGTTGGGTTCGTACGGGTGGCGAATAAGTTTTAGAAAGTGTTGGTACTTGCCTGGTTTCGGCATGCGCCCCTTGAGGTCCCACTTCTCGTTAAGCGTGTGGCAGGAGCCGAACACATCGTCGAAGCACAGAATGAAGCCAACCTCCTTCCCAGCCTCCACACGAAGAAGCATCGAAAAGCGCATCAGCAGCGTGTCGACGTTATGTGCGAGGTGCTCTGTATACTTCTGGAGAAACCCGAGCAGGACATTCACCTCTGCCTCGGCGATCGTCTTACACATAAGATCCATCGACTTGGACTTGAGGAAGAGCGCCATCGAGCGTCCCTCACCTAGTTCTAATCGCAGCCGCTCTTCCGGCAGCGTCCACTCATCGGCGAACACGTCTTCATCGAGGCCGTCAAGCTGTCTAAGAAAGCGAAACACCTCTGGGGCGTATTCGTGCACAATCACCTCCTCCTGGTTACCCTCGTTGTTCGGTACATTAAATCGCAGCACACGTGTTTCGTTATACTTCGACTCATCGATTTGGGCAAGTGACTGTTTCACCCCACTAACGCTCCGCCTCACTATTCCGGTGTCTCCATTCCCCGCTTTCAGACGGTCGCGGTGACTTTGCAGTTGGGCAGCAGCTGTTGCTGCTAATGCGCCAGCAACTTGGCGCCCGGTTAGTCCGCGCCCGCTCGTGGCGGCGCCGCCAACAGTTTGGCATATCCCCATCTGCAGAATAATAAAAGAAAAGAGAAAAACAAAGGCACTCGAGGAAGTTGGCAGCCACAATAATGTAGCCCGTGTCCCCCACGGGCACTTACCCGGCACACGCCGGACAGGCGACCCAAGTGCCTTAACACCGGAAGAAGTCAATAAAACACGACGCAAACAAATGAATAAAAATGCAACAATTTTTTTTTTTTTTAGGACGCTCGAAAACCTGAAGTTGTGCTGATACATACATATATATATATATGCAGAACCCGGTGAACAGTAAATTTAAAAAGAAAGGAAAGTCCAGTCGCTAGCCGTCGCAACGTGATCCTCCACCGTTTGTGATATATATCATTGGATTACTACGTTGTCAAGGAGCCTCGTGGGTCCAAACTTGTATGCCAGTGCAATCAGTAGAGCTGTCGTGCAGTTCTCCACAGGCATAAGCGTGTCGCTCGACAAAACTTCGACGTAATCGATCACGCCACCAAGTCCCATAATAGCATCAACAATTCCAGTCCGCACTGCTTTCGCCTCCAGAGTGCGATCAGCACGCACAAGAGTCTCCGCCTTCGCTAACGCCGCGTAGAGGGCCGGCGCCTTCGCACGGTCACCCGGCGAGAGAAAACGGTTACGGGAACTCATGGCGAGCCCGTCAGGCTCACGCACAGTCGGTAACACCACAATTTCAATAGGAAAATCAAGATCTCGCACCATGCGCCGAATAATTAACGCCTGTTGTGCATCTTTCTGCCCAAAGAAAGCAAGGTCAGGCAGCGCGATATGAAACAGCTTGGTCACAACAGTGCAGACACCACGAAAATGACCTGGGCGCGCTCGCCCGCAAAGAGACGTTGAGAGCGCCATCTCGTCCACCCACACTGAGGCGTCTGGCGCGTACATCGCGGCTGTGTCCGGGCAGAAGATGATGGCGTCCGGAGCGACCGCAGCGATCATCGCCTGGTCGTCCTCGAACGTGCGCGGGTACGCAGCGAAGTCCTCATTGGGAGCGAACTGCGTGGGGTTTACGAATATCGACACGATCACCGTGTCGGAGTTTCGCACGGCCTCACGAACGAGGGACACATGACCCTCGTGGAGGTTCCCCATCGTGGGGACCAACGCGATGCGCCTCCCACGGCCGCGGAGTGCCAGAATCTCTTTCTGCAAGGCCCTTGGCTCATAAAAAATCCTCATGAATGAGGCCCTCCCGGCGCAAAAAAAAAAAAATAATAATTAAAATATGCTCCCAACACCGTGTTCTTTCTCTTTGCAGAGTAATAGTGGAAAGAGAAAAAAAAAAAGAATCAACGCGAGCCAGTCCCTGAAGCCCCAGCACACCACAACCAACCCCGCTTTACGGCAATCGTGCAACTGACTAGGGTGCCCAGCGTAGCCACTCATTCCGCACACAGCAAAAAAAAGGGTGCAGGCAAGAAAGTAGTCCTTACACCTCTCCTTTACGCTAACAGCATATAGGTCCATAAAGCAAAAACAAGAGGGAGAAATAACTCGCTATCACAAGGCAAGCAAAAAAAAAAGACTACAAAAGGCAAAAACCATCTCGCTTTTCTATTGTTTTTTTTTTTGTTTGGGTTGTTTTCTGCACTTTACACAAAACACATACTGCGCAGCCAATACTCAACACACGCTGGGCACGACGGCCACAAGAAAAATTCTCTCTGCCAAAAGGGGAAGAAGTACTGCAACAACAACAAAAAGACTACAACATGAAAGCACTGATGACACTCCTCATTTAACTAATAGCAAAGTGTGTTTCTTCTCAAACCACGAAGATCACAGAGAGAGAAATGGTTTTTTTTGAGGGAGGGGGAGGCCGCACACTCAACTTCACAACAAAAAAGCATCCTGCTGTCCGCAATGGGACAACCTTCACCTCTTGGGCACCAATGACATGGCTCGGAGCAACCCCCCCCCC